TCAAAACCAACGAGGTCGGTCGGAGCAACAGAAGCAACAGAGGGCAAGAGGGGGGGGGGGGAACACCCCTCAAAGACGGGGGTGCGAGGGTCACCACGAGAAGCTCCTACAGCGACCATGCTCTTCTCTGCTGCTAGGAGGCCCTTCTCGAGGAGGTCAACGGTGAGAGTGGTGGGGCAAACTGAGAGGAAGTGGTCCCTGACTACGCGGAGAGAGTCAGGGAGCTGGGTGACTATGTAGTAGAGGGTGATGTACATGGGAGGGGGGGGTCTTGTCGCAGAATTCAGCAGGAAGCGCAGCGCGGTAACGAGTGTCACTAGTGCGGAGGTGCGTAATGAGGTCAGCGACTGTGGGAAAGGCAGCAAGGTCAGGGAAGAGGTACGGTAGCATGAGGCGGCTCAGTGCAGCAGTGGCAGGGGAAGAGTAGCGTTCAACTAAAGCGTCGTACAAGGTCTGAGCACTCTTGTACTGGCTAAAGTGTGCACGCTCAGTGGTCGGTAAGTGGCGACGCACAGCAAGACGGGCAGCAGCATCGCGTGTCGCCCACTGTGAGCGAACAGTACTGTCAGCAGTAGCAGGCGGGGCAGGGGAGGCACCAGAGGTGAGGTCGAACAAAGAGAGGCCGTCTGCCCTATCGCACTGGAGGAACAGCTGGAGGTCATCGGCCCAGACCTCAAAGTCAACAGCACGGCCCTCAGTGTTAAATGTAATAACACTGGGGGTAGCCATGACTGCAGTGGCCTAGTAGGGAGTGAGCTCACCAGTCCGAGGAAGGAGGGCCGGGGCGCACCGGTTGGAACAGCAGAGGCTCGACAGTAGGGCGGCTCGGCGGCTCGGCGGCAGGGCGGCACGGCTGCTGAGCGGCTCGGTTGCTGGGCGGCTCGGCTGCTGGGCGGCTCGGCTGCTCGGCGGCTCGGCTGCTCGGCAGGTGGGCGGCTTGGCTGGGCGGCTCGGCTGCTGGGCGGCTCGGCTGCTGGGCTGGTGGGCGGCTCGGTTGCTGGGCTGCTCGGCGGCTGAGCGGTGACAGGGCCGGTAGAGGCGGCGACGTGGCCGCTAGGGGAGGGCGACGGGGCCGCAGGTGACGGGGACGGGGCCGCAGGTGGCGGCGACGAGGCCGCAGGTGGCGGCGACGGGGCCGTAGGTGGCGGCGGGGCCGCAGGTGGCGGCTGCATGGCCGCAGGTGGCGGCGACAGGGGCGCAGGTGGCGGCGACGGGGCCGCAGGTGGCAGCGACGGGGCCGCAGGTGGGGGCGACGGGGCCGTAGGTGGCGACGACGGGGCCGCAGGTGGCGGCGACGGGGCCGCAGGTGACGGCTACGGGGCCGCAGAAGGCGGCGACGGGGCCGCAAGTGGCGGCGACGGGGTCGCAGAGGGGCCGCAGAGGGGCCGCAAGGGGCCTAGACGGGGCCGCAGAGGGTCCGCAAGGGGCCTAGACGGGGCCGAAGAGGGTCCGCAAGGGGCCTAAACGGGGCGGCGACGGGGCCGTAAGGGGCCGGAAAGGGCGCCGCGAGGGGCCGAAAGGGGGTCGCGCGAAGGCCGTAAGGGGCCGTAAAGGCAGCGCGAGGGGCCTAAGGGGCCGTAAGGGCGGCGCGAGGGGCCGTAGAGGGCGGCGCGAGGGGCCGTAGAGGGCGGCGCGAGAGGCCGGAAGGGTGGCATAAGGGGCCGTGAGAGGGGCCACTAAGGGCGGCGCGAAGATAGGGAGGGCACACAGAGCGCGACTCGGGCAGGAGTGAAGCGCGCTCCGAGCAGGAAAAAAAAAATCGTGGTGGGCCCTAGGTAGTGTTCCCAGTAGGGAACCTGCTCGATACCATGATAACAAACGAGGAATGAATGCATTGAGCAGAAAGAGGAGTACAAGTAGCAAACCCTAAAGTGTTGTACCCCATATGAACTGCCCCACTACAACCTACACAGACTATAGCATATATGCGTGAGAACTAGCCCTCTGTGATAGCCTCTAGCTTTGCTTACCATTGTGAACTTGCTCTATGACTGTATGCTCTGCTGATTACACCCCACTTTGGCTATGGGGGTGTGTCAGAATGTTATTATCTAGCCTGTAGTGGGGTGCTCTATAGCGAGTACAATCCTGTTAGTGTTTGCTATATGTATCCCAACTGCTGCTAGTGAAACCCCTCCTTTCTTCATTTCTCTCTTGCCTAGCTAGCTAAACCCTAGCTATGGCTCCTAGCTTTGCTTACTATTCTCACAACTATCCCGTTCCATTGCACCTGTAACACCAGTATGTACTTGCCCTGTAAGGGTGACGTCAGATTGTACTACTTTTACTTTTGATACGCCCTCTACGATCAACATAGTTTCTTCGCGGTGCAAAACAGCGATGCTTAAAAACCGCTTTACACCGTGTGGAACCGTCTTGAGCCACGATGCAATAATTGTGTATGTGAGAAAATTGTATAATCTGATATGGGAAAATATCAAATATGGGCCAAACAATAGCTTGGAAATGACCGAATTAGGTGGGTTAATTCTAACTATTGGATATACACCTGAGGCTGCTTACGTGGTTGGGCCGAAAATTTGAAGCAAGATTTAAATGAAATTACTTGAGGTTATAGGTTATAATCGCTGCCGAACACGAAGCCTGCGTCGCTTTCCTCTTGAAGTAGGTTCCGTCATGTTTATATGTATTTTAAAAAAACAGAAATGCATATTTGTTTCCATAAAAAACATCAATTTAGCTAACGTAAAAAAATCCAGTTCGGAAACAGATGCGACACGGGAGGCATCAACCCTAAACACCTGACGGGTTTCTGTGTTTAGGGTTGATCCATCTTGATAATGCGTCCAGGTTCCCTAATGGTTTTAGTTTTTTTTTGGGTTGCCTTAACATTTCCCGGGTAGCGTCGGTACAGCCAGTAGCGCTACCTGGCTCGCCAAACGACGCTACCAGGTGGAAAAAACAAATGCAAGCCGTAACGAGCCTCTCTGTCAATCACTCCTCGCGCAGGGGTTTGGTCAGTTCTGGACCTCCCGGCCCCAGTTTTGACGCCTCTCTGGCACCGTACGGCCCCAGTTTGATAATTTCCCACCTGACGTCGCCCTAAAGAGCACTCACTGGTTCACGGGCATCGCCACCTTCAAGAGTATCTCACCCACTCGCCTTGCCACGTTGCCCTGCCACACCACGCCACCCCTTGACCTCGATCAGACTAGAGTCAAACAGCACTGTACACTGGACACAGTAAAGTGATGCAGAGCAATGCCGCCGACCAAATGCTGATTGTGTAAGATGCTCAGCCCCTGCGCGCGAATTTGCCCTGCCCCGGATGGATAGTCTGCACACGTGTTTTTTTTACCGGAAAGTTGCACCTACATCACAAGCCCCTCGAGCAAGCTGCAGTGTTTATGAGCCAATAAGAACCACAGAAACCGAAGTCAAACAGAAGAGACTGAAGTCAAAATGTCAACAAGGAGTTACAAATGTTTTATATGCCCTTTTTTGCTTGTTGCGACGTTGACGAACTTTGCGAAAACGGTAGAGACTAGTAAAAGCCTTCTTTTCAGGGCAACCTTGGATTAATCAAACGAGCATCGTGTGTACGCGATACAATCAACGCGCGTGGAAGAGTGGACCCACAGCTAGCGGGACCAGTGTGGGAAGGAGTCAGTCGCCGCCAGCAGCGTCCACTGTGCTGCTGTATCTCCCGTCGTGTCGTGCTTGGTCGGTGTAGGAAGAAAATCACGCGGTCGTGGGGTGGCGATGTGTAGGCGGAGGGGAATCCCCGCGAGGCGAAATCTTTTTTCAGTCTGGGCTACTCATCCGTTCCGATCCGACTGGCTCTACAGTTTTCATCTCATACTCTACATCTATACGGGAGAAGCATGTGGAATCAACTCTGAAATGGAAGAGAGTTTCAAAACGAGAAGTGAGGCGTGCACTGAGGTTGCCCGTTTTCTTGAGAAGAAGGTTACTGTACCTGAAAGGCGACTCGACTTTGGACTCCATCCTGACAGAGGACTCCTCTTTGCTGGTGCCCAGGATTGGATTGTGTTGGTGAGTCTTCATGGAAAAATATGTAATTCACCGTAATTGATCCCATGGTAACACAGAGTGTCTTTCAAAACCGCTTACATTATACACGGTACTCATCTATTTTGAGATTCAAACACACAATTTCTCTCTCTGCTGTGCGTCCTCATCGATGAGGTCATTCAAGGAAGTTTTCTTGAAGGACGAGGAGAGACGAGATGACGAACTCCAAATTGCATTGCCTGTGCAAATGAGTTGCGGATTGACGACGACGTCCACTCCACTTCACACCACACAGGGACAGGAAACCGTCACCTAATGAAGACCGTCAAGTCAAGCTCTCAGACATTCTCTCTCCCACCCAATGTGGACCTCAGATTTTGTGTTTGTACTAATCATCTTTCCTATTTTCCGCCTCGAACTCGGCGCTACTACCACCAGCGGCAGGAACGGCCGCTGCAGCAATTGACAGCATGATTTTACCTGCCTTTCCGAAGCTACCAACTGGCAACCTCCTTCCTCTAATCCAAGCCGGACACGTGGCATCCATCTGGCACGACGTGCTGCTCACGCCGCCGCAATTGTCGCAATCATCCTCTCCGCGTTTGCAGGATTCCGCGTTTCTAGCTGCTAGTGCTAACGAATTGCTCTTTCCATCACCGGCCGCGGAAACTGAGAGCCACGATTTTGGGGGGAGGTATGTGGCGAACGATAATTACGTGTCACTTTCTGCGTTCACCTTCGTCTGCACCTCCTCAAAAACCGCCAGCGCGGATCACGCCGCTAATCGCGGCGGAAGACATTTCCCTCAGAGCGCTCGTTCGAATCGGAAAAACAGCCTAGTAAATTTTAAGAGCGAAACGCAGATTTCCACCTCTCCCCGTTCGCTTTCTCCCGACTCGCTTTCTCCCCGCTCGTCGCGTCCCGCCTTGCCTTGCCAGCGGCTCGACCTAGACGGCTCTTTGAGCCCCGACGACTCCGCGCCGCGCCCATGGAATCTAGGAATCATGCCTCAGACGTGCGTTCTCTCCCCCATCGCTTCTCAGCCGTCAGATGTCGCGACAGACGCCAACGACTCACCGCCGTCGTCCCCGTTAGCAGCTTCCGCAGGTCCTGGATCGCCGCGCGAGTCTGGCGACTCGGCTTTCCCCGTGATTTTCGACAACGCGCCGATCGAAGCGGTAGAAGTTGGCGCGCGGCAGCGCGAACCCGGGGAGGCGTACCCGGTGCTTCCGCTCCTCGCGCTGCCTGTGCGGCTTCACAACGAGACGCGCTCGGAAGTTTCGTGGAAACTGGTGGTTATCGCGATCGACGACCCGTTGGTTGCTGCCCGGCGGATGGACGTGGTTTCGCGGAAGCTTCTGCCGATGGTGCGGAGATGGGTTCGCGAGTCGGGTTTCGCGTCGCCGCCACGTCCGCAAAGGGAATCGTCAAGACGGGGTGAGTTCGTTCGGCCACACTGTAGCAATATATATCCTTTTCCCCCTTATCAAGAGTTTAGGGAGTTCGCGGCAAAGTTAAGGACATGATGGTACTACTTCTAGCAGCGAGACCGCCAATTCTTCCTCTCTTGACGTCGCGATGCCTTCACGGCGACGGCGGTGTGACCACTCCCTGTGCCCAATCCGTTCCCTTTGTCCGCATAGCTTCCCCTTTCCCTTCCCCTTCCCCTTTCCCCTAACCTTTCCTCCTTCCCCCTCTCCCCTTCTTCCTTTCTCCTTCGCCCTTTTCCGTTCCCCAAGCAGAAAAAAAGCCTTCGCCTGCTAGCCCGTCGCGCGACCCTCTCTCATCTCCTGATGTGTCGTGCTTGTGGGACGAAGCTGCTCAGAAGGCGCGCGCCGTGATCACCGAGTCGCACTACACGTGGAAGGTTCTCGGAAGCGCGCTCCGCCGGCCTACCTTGCAACGGAGAGGCCACGTGCACGCGCACGCGCTGCCAGCGTGGCAAGAGCGAGATAAGATCCTCAACTGTTTCAACAACGCGACGCTCAGTAGCGAATCAGCCGCAAAAGGCAGCAGCAGCAAGCGTAAGGTAAGCTTCGCAACCAGTTTAAGAAGCGGAAGGCTCGGCTTTACCGGCACTATTAGTAGCAGCAGCGGCTTTTCCGAGTTGGATTTTGAGTCGACTCAAAAGTCAACAACCCAAAAGCCAACTCTCTTAAGAAGCAGAAGGTTCGGCTATATCGGCTCTGTTACCAGCAGCGGTTTTTCCGCCGAGGCAGACGAGAAGTTTAGCGAACCAGTTTGGAAAGCTGCGAAAGATTCTGAGGAGGAGGTGTTTCGAAAGGGCGACGCGGGAAGTGGTGGTAACTCTGTGTGGCTACTTATCCCTCGATTTGGGAAGGAAGCGGAAAAAGTAGCTCGTAGCAGGTCGCGCGCGCTTTCCGCAACTTCCGCCACCTCCGCCGCTTCGATTACCGAGCCTAATAACGGGTGTCGTTGCCGTCTCGAGGCGGCTGCGGCAGTGGCTGTCGCTCACGTGAATGCTTCCTCGAGTGGTGCTGCGACGCGTAATGTTTCCGGTAGCAGCGTCAGAGGCCATAATCGCCGCGGTTCGTGGGGTGGCGAACGGAGCTATACCGTCGGCAGCGGCGGCAGCTGTGCGAAAAACTGCGAAACTCCTGTGTTACCATGCGAACAGAGCGGCAGTTGCAGCAGCAGCGGCAGCACTAGTGGCGACAGCTGGCGCCGGTTCGACGCCGCTCCGAGCAGCACCGGTGAACTTTCCCCCTGTCTTTCCCCGCACTCCGTGTTCCCGTCTCCACGCCCTGGCTTAAAATATCCCGCCAGCGCAACTTTCGCCGGCGCAACTTCCGCCAGTGCGACTTCAGCAAGCGCTGCTTCCGCCAGCGTGGGACGCGCCAGCTTCCGCACCATTTCCCTTGTCCCCACCCGAAACGTCCCATCCTTGACATGCACGTCGCAGGAGGATTCGTCCACGTCAGAAGCTGCGGCGGCGCTACTGAACGAAATTCTAGACGCGCCGCTGCCCATGTTCTTGGACCTACGGCGAAGCGCCACTATCGGATCGTCATGTACTGTGCAGAAACGCAGTGCTAAAAATAACGGCAACAGGTTGGGTGGTGGTGCTATCAGTGGGCGGTGGTGGGGGAGGGAGGAGAGAAACGGGGGAGAGGGGAGGAGCGGGGGGTTCGGCAAAACCAGTGGTGGTCGTTTGGGCAATCTGTGTGACAATAAGGAAGGAAAAGGATTCTGCTCCGGCGGCGGCGATGAGGGTTCTGGTGGCGGTGGTGATGGTGACAATAGCGAGGGTGAGGACAGCCCGAGGCCGATGGAGCTGCTGAGAAGGCATACCGTTACAACCATGAATAAAAGGGACTACAGTGAAGCAGCTGCTATTTATACGAACTCTGTTGTTAAAGAAAACGCAAACGCATATGGGATCGATAGGAGTGCGATTCTAATGAGCGGTGATATTGTACGGAGGAGCTCAGGGCTGGAGTTACCAGGCAGCAGCAACCGCCTAAATAGCACTAATAGTAGCATGGTTGGCGGTAACAGCAGCAGTAATAGCGGAGGTAAAGTTAACACTAACACGGACACGCCTAGGAGCATAGGGAGGAATTTATGGATGGAAAGGACTGGGAAAGTTCGAGCAATTGCCCGCTTGCTTCCGCGTTTGAAAGTTCCGGCACCGGTCGGGAAAGTGGGGGAGAAAGGCGAAGTGGAAGAGGAGGGGACTCAAACTCAAGGCGATGAAAGGTTGGAGGAGGAGCAGCAGCGGTCAGGCAGAGAGAGAGCAGAGACGAGGCATGAGTGTGTGGATGGGGAGGGGGAGAAGGAAGTGGGTGGTGGGCAGGAGGAGGAAATGGAGGAGGAGGGTGAGGAAGTGGAGGAGAAGGTGCAGGAGGGCGGCAGTATCAATAACAGTACCAGCGCAGACGGCAGCGCCACCTCAGCGGGCGGCAGCAGCGTAGCGGGCGGCGCAGTGGGCAAGAAGAGTTTCCGGTACAGCATCATCATCCCGTCCAAATTCTCCGAGAGCGCTGACCTGGCGCTTGCCAGCTGTCGCGAGGCGCCCAAGACCAGCTGGCCTGCCACTCCCCAGACTGCCCGAGAGGCTCCCAAGGCTCACTGGCCTCCCACCCCCCAGACCGCCCGCCATGCTCCCACCGCTCCTAACCGCACACTATCTCGCCCTCACAGCTCTCAGCCCGAACGGCCCCGGACGGCCGAAGCAGAGAGCACTGAAGAGGCAGAGCCGAAGGACTTTTCTCGGGAGTTTCCCGGGGTGAGGGGGTGTGCGGCTCGGGACGGGTGGGGATCCAGCCAAGACCTGTCCATACTGGAATGGGTCAAGCCTCAACGCTTTCCCGAGCCTTGTGCTGAGCCTCTTGCCAAACCTTCTGCCGAGCCAAGTTACCATGGATGGAGCAATTCAGACACAAGTGCTCCTACCGAGGATGTTTATAAGGATGACAGGAAAGTCAGTGCCAGTGAGCTGCTAATGAGGGCTCTAAGCGAATCCCACGTGGATCCTGATGACGCATATGCAGCGGCACTCTCGGCTGTTGCTGCTGCTGTGTCTGCTTCAACAGCTGCTGCTGCTGCTGCCGCCGCCGCTGCAGCTGCTGCTGTGTGCTATTCACAACCAAAAGAGGCAGCAGCTGCAGCCGCTGCGGCTTCCGCTGCTGCTGAGGCGGCTGCCGAAGCGGCTGCCGCTGCTGCCCTGGTCGCTCCCAGACAGTCTGTTGCTCGTGCCGTTGCTGCTGCTACTTCTTCTGCCAGGTTGTCGAATCCTGGTGACAGCCTGTCTTGTGCCAACTGTTCTGGTGACACCCCTTCTGGGAATGACTCTGGTGCTGGTGGTGGGAGCTTCTCGAGTCAGGAGGCCAAGGAGAGCAGTCCTGGTGGCAAGGAGAGCAATAGTAAAGGCAGCAGGAGCAGTGGTAAGAGCCGCAGCAAGAGCAGCGGCAAGAGCAGCAGTAGGAGCAGCAGCAACGGTGACATCATGGGCAAGGCAGGGGAAGAAACAAGGCGGATGAAGGCTGCAGCAACGCACAGCAGCACGAGTAGGCAGACTCAGTCACAGGGCGGGGGCACAGGGAAGGTCAGTGAGGGGAAGGGCAGCCAAGGGAAGGGCAACGAGGGGAAGGGCAGCCAAGGGAAGGGCAACGAGGGGAAGAAGATCCGACCGTCGATGAGCATGCCATCCGCTAAAGGCTTCACCGTTATTGCTGCCAAGGATGCTCCGTGGCGGCTGTCCAGGCAGCTCACTGCTGTCGCCGGCAAAGCATCCCTAGCAGCGGTAGCAGCCCAAGCAGTCACAGCAGTCGAAAGCACAGCAGGAGTGCTTCCAGAGGTGCACCATCCCCGGGTGCTTTCACCACAGGCAAGAGCACAGCAGGTGCTTGCTCGACCAGGCAACGGGAGCACCACTGCCAGCAGCGCTGCTGCCGCCTCTCTTTCTTCTCCTGCCAATCGCTCCTCTCTTCCTTCTCCCAGTTCCCGCCCTCGTGCTGTGTGCCTCCCACACAACCCGTACCTCCCGCCCCTCTCACCCGGCTCTTCCCTCTCGCCCCTCTCACCCCTCTCACCCCTCTCACCCCTCTCGCCCTGCCCACCCTGGGCTTCTGACTCTGCTTTCTCTGGCTTTAAACCCTCGTCTGGGGGTGGCACCGTTGCAACCCCCCGCTCGGGTCGCTCTGTGCCAAAGTCATTTTCCAGTGACAACCTTGCACCGCTCTCCACCGCTCAGAACCGCTCCACTGGCAACCTTGCACCGCTCTCCACCGCTCAAAATCACAACAGGAAGCTGAGTCAGGCCCGGTCCATTTCCCCAAGCCCACGCGAGCTGCGATCAAGGAATGGGAGGGAGCGTGGATGGCCAGAAGGATTTAACTCGTCTTCTACCCTGTTGGTGTCTAGGAATGATGGAGAGAGTGTGGGAATGGTGCGAGGGGTGGACGGTGGTGCTGTGACTGGTTGGTTGAGGATGGGTGAGGGTTTGGGAGAGCATGCGTGGTGATTTTGTTAAGTGGGATGGTGTGAGAAGTTCAGCTTTGGGTGTAGCAGCCACGAGTCACAGTGGGGTGATGGGGAGATGGGTTGTAGCGGTTGCAATGGGGAGGACTATGTTCAAGACATAAGAGATAGGCATTTCTGTGTATATGGATGAGTCAGTGCCTCCAGACTCTGCTATCAGCAGCGATCGCCGCTGGTTCGGCTGCTGCGATTAGTGATTGTTGAAGGGCATAAAAAGTTGGGGGGAGAACTGGAGGTGCTGCAGCAGCCGTTACAGGAAATGGTGGGAAGAGCAGCTTCTGGCGTTGACTGAGGCATCTGATTTGTTGATAGGTACGGCATGACATTAGCATGTATCTGGTGTAAATATCTAACATGTTTTTGACAGTTAACTAAGCTATCTTAACCATAGTGTTTCTATGTCATGTACAAGTTGACCTGACTGCTATTGTATTGATGGCCCAAGAGCACGGTAGGTGGCCTGGTTGCTTGCCAGCCATTGGTGGCGAAGGCAATTCGCGGTTCGGCTGAATTCCACGATGAGATGCGGCCCGATGGCGACGCACATTTCCGTCCGACAACTCCCAACACTTAGCAGCTTGCTTCATGCAGCATCAGCTTCTCCTACCTGGCATCAGAACGGTCCTTGGCAAATCCAAGCTGCCCGCTCCCAGCACATCATGCAAATGAAACAGGCATTCGTTGACGGAAAGTTGGACGGGAAAATGTTTCTGAAAGCAGGCAAATGTGAGCAACCTCTTCGCCTGCGAAAGCTGCTTCACATTTCTGTTGACGAAAGCTGCAAATGTTTCTGTTTTTGCTGCTTCACTGCCACTTTCACCTCCAGTAACCTAGCTTTCGAGTTGTGCCAGTTCCACCGACACTTCACCTGTGGAACCTTTGCGCCACGCGTTATTACCGCCAGCAAGCAACGGGAGATGAAGCAAAATAATTTTTACGCTGGCGGGCGGCCTGGCATACTTCATGTCTCGCGTCTCGAAAAAACGTACCTGACTCTCGCCGCCGAGCGCCGATCAATAGCTACTAGTTTCTTATTGCGCCATGCCGCACAATGTGACACGGGATGATACATGCGCGGCACACGGAAATTTCAGAAAAAATCTGTCCAGAGAGGGATTCGAAATCTGGTTTCAGACACCCGCGAATGGCGCTAATCACCATACTGTGGCGAATAGTATCCACTGCTTCTGGGAGCGTCAGAAACTATGGCGGCAGGAAAAACGATAAGTGCAGCAACACTTCCAGCGGCAGCAGCAGCAGCAGCAGCAGCAGCAGCAGCAGTAGTAGCAGCACAGTCTACGGCAGGAAATCGAAACTTCTCCACGGTCCGTCGAGAATTTATGGCGCATCGCGCGGAGCAAGCAACACGCGTTGCTTTTCGAGCAAGACTAGTGATTCCACCTCAGTCTGCACCGCACTATCAGCAACAAACACCAGAAGAAACTTCTCTCCAAGCCCTGATTCAAGCGAGCCGCCATGTTCTATTTCGAAGTGTACTTCGAGCGCGCCTCCAGGAGAATATCTCATTCCGAGTCCTAGTCTCGCAGCGTCGCCGCTGGCTGCCGACACCGGAGCGGCGGCGCCCACTAACTGGAACCGCCTGCCGGCGTTGATCGGATCGGGCTATGACGTGGCATCGATCTGGCACGACGTGCCGATTTCTTCCGATTGCGTGGCTGGGACTCCACTACTGCGGTCCGCGTCCTTACCTCCTACAGCCACAAATACTGCTACTAGCAACAATCCGTCGGCTATTGCGTCGCCCGCTTCATTCTCGCTAAAATCAACCTCGCTACCACGCTCGTTTAGCGAAACGCGCATTCCTAGCTCTACCACATCCCTCTTCGGAAGCAGCCGCGGGTTCTGCTCACCACCGTCAACGTCAACGTCATCAACAACGACAACCGCCGAATTCACATTCGTCTGCACCTCCCCACCTTCCGACCCGCGCTCGCGTGAAGGATGCGCGTCCGGCGCGTGCTCACACGACCGCACGTCCGCCGAGCGACCGGCGCCAGGTCCAGATCGTGTCCTTCCGCGTCATTCGCGCAGGCGTGTCCTTCCGCGTCAGTCGCGCAGGCGTGTCCTTCCGCGTCAGTCGCGCAGGCGTGTCCTTCCGCGTCAGTCGCGCAAGCGTGTCCGTGGAACCTTGGGATTATCCCGCAGACGTGCGTGCTCGGAGTCATTCCAACGGACTTTCCGCGACGCGCTGCGGAGCTGAAACCCTATAGCGCGGACTCCGGGTTTGTAGATAACGGTAGGTTAAAGGAGCCGTTCCCGGAGATTCTCGACGACGCGCCATTGGAAGCCGTGGAGGTGGGGGGCAGGCGGAGACAGTGCGGAGAGGTTTACTCCGTTGTTCCGCTGCTGGCGCTGCCCGTCAGACTGCGCGGGGGAGGCGCCGGGGTAAGGGCGGGGAGAGGGTGGGGGAGAATATCGGGTGGAGGAGAGGGACGTGGGGGAAGGGGGGACGGAAGGGGAGGAGCAGCGAGAGAAGTTAGTGAGGAGGAGGAGGAAATGGGTGAGTGGAACCCGCGTGAGGCTGACTCTGGCTTGGAGGTTTCCTGGAAGCTGCTCGTGATAGCTGCAGACGACCAACTTGTCCTTGCAGGAAAACTCGAGGAAGTTTCCCGAAAGCTGCTCCCTGCTGTTTGTAGGTGGGCCGAGGCAGCACACTTCACAGCCCCCTTCCCCGGAGAGATGCTGACGTCACCAGGCTGCTGCACAACCGAGGTATCACCAGGCTGCTGAACTGACGTGACGTCAGCAGGCTGCAGCACAGCGAGTACATCCTCTCGAGATGACCCGAACGAGCACTGCTGCTGCTTCAGTAGCGGAAGCGGACTGCGCGTCAGCTGGCAGGAAGAAGCTTCCCGGAAAGCGGGAGCGGTGATCCTCGACGCCCACCGCACGTGGCAGATCCTGTACGGCCCGCCCCTCATGCGTGCCGCCCGCGGGCGGCAGAAGGAGCAGCAGGAGTGGCAGCAGGAGGGACAGCAGGAGGGTCCGAGTTGTCTTTTTACACGTGTTGCTCATGGACGGCAGGAGTGGCAGCGGCATCATGATGGCCAATCAGAAGAAAGAAGCTGCCACATGTTTGTTCGCGCCGCTGGGCGGCCGCCGCCCGAGCGTGGCACGTTGGAACGTAGCGCGGGTCATCAGGGCGAGGGACGCGTGGGAAGAAAGGAGGAGGGAGGGGTGCTGTGGGGGGAGAACTCTGGCGAGGGGCGGAGAGGCACATGTGACGTTCAGAGACATGCAGAGGGAAGTGGGGGTGCTGCACCAACTCTGGAATCAGCTCGTCTCACACAGGCGAAAGGGGTGCCGCCGGGTGCTGTGCTTTCACAGGACATGGCAGGGGTGAAGCGATGGAGGATGAGCGGGAGGGGGTGCTGGAGGCGGGAGAGGTGGGGGAGGTGGAGAAGGGGGAGCGAGAGGGGAAGGAGGAGCGGCTCAGTGCACCGTGTGGCTCCTGCTTTTTCTCCTGAGATGACCTCTGACCCGATGCAAATGGAGGGGAGCATGGTGCAGCATGCAGCGCCCGTTTTGTCCCCCGGGCAGAATTTCGAGTCGACTCAAAACAAGAGAAGCCGGCTGCCTTTCCTGAGTAGACATTCGGTCAATTGAAAGAAAAATCAGCACGGTGGTCAAGTGTGCTCACTTGAACGCTGCAGCGCACCACCTGCCAAAGCAGCATCGATCAGAGAACATGTGACCTCCGGAAGGCAGCAAGCAGTACGAAGATGAAAGGCCTGGCTGAGTGGCGCAGGAGCACACTGCTATTGAGGGGAACAGATGTTGCAGCACAGCAAGCAGCACAGCAAGCAGCAGGAACTGTGATTATCACCAACCAGAGCAACGTCAAGGGTACTCACCTTGAACGCAGCAGCAACTTCACGATTTGGTTGAGTGGTGAAGAATCACTATTGCTGAGTGGTACTCAGATCAGTATTTTCTTTGCAAGCGGCGGCGGCAGCAGCAGCAGCAGCAGTAAATACACTTGGATCAACTGATAAAGCATGGCTTACGGAGTGGCAAGACTGGCAGCTTGTAAGGGGAAAGAGTCTCAAGGGACAGATCGGAAGGGACAGCCGAGGGTGACGGATTATAGACTCCTGGGTTGCTGCCCCAGCATCATGGAGCATTCACTTGAATGCAGAAGCGTGCTGAATCATCTGCTAGAGAAGCATTACAGCAACAAGCAGCTTGTAAAGAGGATGTTGCACAGATACAGTGAAGCTAGAGTAGGAAATAATATCAGAAAGAAATTATGTACATTATATACAGTGCATTACACAACAAATCAAACACAGTAACATATCATCCTTCCCCTTCCCGCACACTGTTTCCAACAGTAGCTGCACCTCATCCATGCTGCTCCTTCCGCATAGCTTCCTTCACCACTTTCCCAAGCGCAGGATTATTCCTCTTGGCTCTCTTCACATCCGCCTCCCCTCCTCCCACACTCCTCCCCACCATATCGTTCTTCACATGCTCAGCAGCAGCAGCAGAAGCAGCCACTGACTGCTCAGCATGCTTCACACTAGCAGTATCAGTGGGCAGATGGGGTGCGTGAGTGTGTGGATGGAGTAATGTAAGTGTGAAGCATGCTGAGCAGTCAGTGGCTGCTCCTGCTGCTTTGCCTTCCTCCACCCCTGCTGCTCCTTCTGCTGTGCTTCCTTCACCAACCACCCCAGCTCAGGATCAGCCATGTTGGCTTGGCTCTCTCCACATCATCCCTCCCCTGGTTTTTGAGATTCTCAAAAACCGGCACACATCCCTCCTCCCCACCATGGAATCCGTCACGTGCTCAGCAGCAGTAGCCACTGGCTCACAACACACCCGCATGCTTCACATTCTGCCAGTCAGCCAACCACCGATCTGCCCACTGTATTTAGTTCTCCCTACTGCTCCTTCAGCTGTGCTTCCTTTACCAGCCTCCCCAGTTCCGAATCAGCCATCTTGGCACTCTCCACATCCCCTTCCCCTCCTCCCACAGCCCTCCTCCCCACCATAGCATCCTTCACATGCTCGGCAGCAGTTGCAACTGATTCCAACACCCCAGCATGCTTCACACTCTGCCGCCTCACCTTCGCCTGCTCCACCAAATCTCCCATATGCGCCCGATTTACCAAATCACTCACCCACCCCCCTCCTCCTCCCCCTTCACCTCCCCTTCCCCTTTCCCCTCCCGCCATCCCCTCTCCTTCCTCTCCTCCGCCCTTTCCTCCCTCACCTGCCACCCCGCCAATCCCCAGCTCCTCCCTCTGGCCGGCAATTTTCGGCGCCACGGTATTCTCCTTTGCAATTCGATTCTTTGGCTCCACAGTCTCAATCCCGGACTTATCCATAACAGCCTTTGTGATTCTACCGAGCGGCTCCCTCGCCCCCCCTTTAAGCATCTCCACCTGTTGCCTCCTGTCCACCCCTTTCTCATCCACGCCTTCCCCCACTTTCACCTGGTCCCACGGGACGCTCTTGGCGCCAGGAACACCCCCTCCACCAAACACGCCGCGTTCATCTGATGAAGGCGATTTCACTGCCGACCTGCCTGCTGCTGTCTCAGTGGCCGCCGTCCCATCACCCCCACCATGCCCAGGACCAGATTCCTCTGCGGCACCGCGGGAACCACTCTCACCACCACCACCAACATCAGCAGTTCGTTTAGACGCTAGTTCGCCTGTCTCCTGGCTAGCGTGGAGGTAGTTCTGTGGAACATCCGCCTTGCTCCCAGCAGCAAACATGGCACTCAGACCAGACCCCCCGAGATCAGCGCTGGGTTCAGGATGATACCGTACACCCCCGCCCAGTCCCGGCTCTATTGCCCCCTCCTCCCCAAAGCTTGCCTTCCCCGCGTGCCTTTCCGCTTCCCCCGCTTCCCCTCCGCCGCCTGCCCGGCTTCCCCCCGCGTGCTGGCCACCTCCTTCCGCGGATGTGCGCGCGGAGAGGCTGGCAGGCGCGCGGTCAGGCGCATGGGGGACGGAAGGCTCTCCGCCACTTTTCACGTCCGCAGAAAGCGGGCGATGCGCCGCTGACGCTTCCGCCGAAGGCACCTCCCCCACTGGCGCCTCCGGCGGGGCGTGCTTCCCCGCGACGCCTAGCGCCTCCGCAAACGAGTGGAAGATCTGCCCAACCGCGCCTGCGACGGTGCCCGTCGCGACTGCGCCAGTGTCGCGCGCACCAGCGGCGGAGGCAAAGATGTTTTCCGCCGTGCGGTTGTACGCGTCCTTTGCGCCCTCCTCTGCGGATGCAATGCCCTCCTGCGCGGACTCGATGGTTTCTGCCGTGCGGTCGCGCGCGCCAGCTGCAGACGCGGATACGTTCTCCGCCGTGCGGTCGTACGCGCCGCGCGCGCCCTCCTGCGCAGACTCAATGCCCTCCGCCGTCCGCTCAGCTGCAGCGGATACTCTTTTAAGCGCGGGGAAATGAGATGAAAGAGGTGAAAAGAGATAAAGAGGTGAAAAGGGGTGGGATGCCCACGAAGCAGAAAGGAAAGCGAACCCATCGTTAAACCTAACGGAAAACGAGGAAAGCTGATTTTGTGGAGCGAAGGGAAATAGAATGTGTGTTCACGTACCCTTTCTGCGCACTCTCGCCAACCGCTTCTGCTGCTCCTTCCACCGTACCCGCCGCCTTGCCCAGCCCTCTCGCCGTGACGGTGCCCGCCGCCTCGAGGTTCTCCTGCAAGAACGTGAACACGAGATACTGCCTCGCTAATTCACTCACGCACCGCCTTGCACGGACACGCATCTCGAATCAACACGCACTCTTTACTGACGGGTCAAAACCCCAGGACAGTGTGACACGAACACGAGTTTTGTGCACACGGAGAGGGAAATATGGGAATAAAAAATAACATAAAAACAAAAGGCACCAGGCTCACCACAGCCGCATCCTTTGTCTCCGCTGCGAACCCCTTCCCCTTCTCGTACGCCTCCCGCCCGGCCTCCTTCGCCGTCTCGCCCGCCTGCTCCGCCGTTTCCCCCGCCTGCGCGGACCGCTCGCGCGCGGCCTCGACGGTCTCCTGAATGCTTTCCAGCGTGCGCTCCATCACCCCGCGCGCGCGCTCAGCCATTGAGTCGAACGACCCTTGCACCTTCTCCCCCGCCGCTTGCGCCTCCGCCTGCGCCTGCTGCGCAATCTCCTTCACTCCCTGCGCGCTTTCCTCCGCCTGCTTTCCCGCCTCCTCTCGCGCCTGTACCGCCTTCTCCTTCGTCTACTCAATCCCCGCCGCCGCACCTGCACGCGCATCTTCCGCTTTCCTCTCCGCCACCGCTGCTCCTTCCGCCGCCTTCTGCGACTCCACTGGCGCAGCGCGTTCCGCCGACGCAGCAGCACCCTCGCTGGCTTTCCGGCTCACATCCTCACTCGACTCGCGCGCCGCTGGTTGCTTGAACTTCTCGGAAGCTTCCTTCGCCGACTGCTTGATCGACTCCGTAGTCTCCGCGACGCCGCGTCTCGCTGCGTCCCATCCGCTCGCAGCATGCTCCTTCACCTCGTCGGTCGCCTTACGAGCTTCCTTCTTAGCACTCTCCTTCGCCATCTCCGCACTTCGCTCCCTCTCCTGCTGCGGCGACTCCCCAACAGCTTCCTCTTGACCCAATTCGATCGTCGATCCACGCTCCGCTTTGTCCACGTGGCCGGCACGTGCAGCCTGGCTGTCAGTCGACACGTCACCAGCGGCCGGCTCATCCTGCGTGTTGATAGGAATGTCCAATCCAGTCTGAAAAGCTCCCTCGGTTTCTGGAGCCGCGTGGCCCATGAACAGCGACGCGAGGTTCTTCAGCGGCGCAAAAAAACCGCCGCCCGAGGCGGAATCCTCGGTGCTCGTAAGAGCTTCCTCGCCGCGCTTCAGCGCGTCTTCGTGCCTGGAGGACCATAAAGACAAAACCTCGAGAATTAGTGCCGGTATGTCCTGTTTTCCGTTGGCAACGACGCGCCATTGGCGACTACGAAGACGTGAGCTGAACACGTGATGCTGGGATCAACGAATGCCTTACGATGCTGGGAGTTCTTCCTTGCCTTTCGCCGCCGTGACCTCCTGTCCCTTCTGCGTCAAAGTCTGCTCTTGTTCGAACTCTGCGGGATCAGCATGCTTTTGCAAACACAAAATAAATAAACATGTCAATGGTAGTTGTTAAAAAAGCAGGGGATGAACACCAGGAAAAAAACGGTAATAGCGATGCCCACCTGTGTTAGATCTTCCTTTTTCATGTAAGGCTCCACCTCCTCCTGGGCCATTGCCCCGGATCTGCGCGACTGCTCGGAAGCCATTTCGAGTTTCTCGAAAACAATCGTGAACTATCGGAAAGGCACCTGGAAAGCGCAAAACAACGGAGCAACCAGTACGAGTGTCTACCGATCTAAAAGACGTGTTCGCTAATAAGGAGGCTAAGTTGAACATTGCGAGACTCCAGAGATGTGTGAGGGACGCCATGGCTGAAGAGGTGCGGCGCGAAATTCCAGGCAGAAATTGCAAAAATTGGAAACTTGGTGGGTTGATTACATTGCAGCTGGTGAGGGGCAATGATGCGTCACGCACGACGTGCATGAGTGCAAGTTCCGTTCGAAGGCCGACACATGGTGAGATCGCTGCCTTTGGAAGAATATTTATTCCCAGCCGTCGATGCTTCATCTTCCATGCCTTTGTTTGGGTGGCGATTCTCCACCAAACCCGGGACCTCGGGCCCGCCAAAAGAGTGGAGGCCGTCAGATCTGATTGCGGTAGTTGTGACGTGTGTGGGGATGAGTGGCTCTAAATTGGCTTTCTTCCCCCATTTCATGGTCTATCATTAGATTGGTTCAATTGAGTGTGCTGGCACGAACGTTCCCCTCATTTGTGGGGACCACACCGCACAAGTACAAACATAGGGGGAAAAAGTCAAGGGGAAGGGACAGAAAAAATATTGAGAGGTTCGTAGATGTGGCAAAGTACTAGTTTTCCTCCAAGCCAGAACTGGCTCTGGGCAGGGCTGTCCTGCGTTTGGGATCGAAATTGTCGAATACAGTTGAAAGTACTCTCCGCCTTGCCCGGGGGCAGAAGCACAGAATGCATCGCGTCAACGTTCCCCTGATCTTGATTTCACTGGTCAATCGAGACCGTAGAAAGTACGCCTAGTTGGAGTTGACGTGGAAGCGAAGCTTTCGGCAACTGCACACACTTCGTCAACTCCAACTCTTCCTCCGGATCCGTCAATCAGGTCTCTAGCACCACATCAAACCCTAATTTAACCACTTGGAAACGTATCTAACTGCACCTCACCGCATCGCTGCAGTGGTTTCTTGGGACTAGTCACCAGTCATCCCAGGCAGAATCTGTAATCCCAGGAGGGTCAAACCACACATCAGAACGGGAAAAATGTGGAGGAAGAGGTAAAACTATGCCAGAAGTAAAACCAGGCCTGTAGCAAGCAGGTTAGATAATTAGTCACTCATTCAGATTCGCTCCAGGAGTTTTCGTTTCAAGGTGGACAAGTAGCTCTTGTGTAAGTGCTTTGCGCGCAGCGCCTTTTTCTGACACAGTGACAAGCCCTGCGTTCTTTCAGGCACTTCGCAATACATGGTTAAGTCACAGTCGCGCTGATTTTATTAAGTGGATTATTAGAGGCTAGTAATCTCTGTCCAAGCCGACATACTCCTCTCTTGGTAGCGTGCTACTCCGTTGAGATTGCGTGAACCCGCGCATGGCTGGAGCCGTGTGTCCCATGAGTCCAGGCGAGGTGGACTGGCGATCTTCAGCGGAGAAAACAGCCAGTTACCGGGTCAAACCCTCGACAGTGCGCATGAACGGCCGCATTAACGGTCGCGGAAACGGTCATCAAGGAAACGGAGTGGCTAATACCCATCATCTGACTAATGGCGGTCGACCACACGGAGACAGCGACGACGAGGACTTCCATTCGGCTGAAATCACCAAGACTGGATCTTCTAACGAGGATTTCTTTGACGCAGCAGAGGACGGCCTAGAAGGTTGGTGTTCTGCTTTTCTTTCTCCGATCTTCGTTGCTCGGACCATCAGTTTTGTAGAGGCGTTTTTGCGTTCGCCAAGGCAGCCCCAAGTCTTCGTGAACCAGAAATAACCTTGTGTGTAGCACTACATTCTTGTTAGCATGCATTGCGTTTTTGCGAATCTGCAAATTTGTTCCATTCCCTGATTGCATTGTCGAATTTGATCAAATCTGATCACTATCCCGTTCCAATTCCTGCAGATTATCTTAGCAGCGACGAGGATTTCCAGAACGCTCCCGGCATTACCAGCAACGGCAGCAGCCGAGCCGTTCCTACGAGTACCACCACTGCTACTCGCGGCCGGCGAACCTCGTACCGTGATCTCGTCGCGCGAATCCAGGAAGAGTCAAGGAGGCGAGCAGAAGCGGAGGAAGCGCTCTCCGCCTGCACGAAACGGCTGGATGGCGTACAAGCTGCGGTCGCAACCGCCCAGAAAGCTCTCGACGAAGCTGCTCTGGTTGTTCTCAGTCCGGCGGGGTCTGGTGATGCTCAAGGCGGGAGCGATAGCAGGACGGCTGGTATCGAGGAAGCTGGAAACGAGGATGCCAGGTCGAGATCTGCTCACGGATCGCAAGACGGTCCGACGGAAGGAGATGCGAGTGGGAGCGTCGGCGCGGAAACAAATGTGGTTGGGATTGTCAGTGCGGAAGCAGATACGACTGGGAGCGTGGATGTGGAAGCTGCATTGGCGAGAGCGGTTGCTGCAGCGATGAAGCGAGGCGAGGAGCATTTGGTTTCGGATTTGGAGCAAGCGGATCTGGTGGCGCGGAAAGAGGCGGAGGTATCGCGGTTGCGAGATAAGCTTCAATACTGGGAGAGGATGAACCAGGAGATGGCTCAGAAGAATAACGAAGCCATCGGTAAGGAGGACAAGCTGAAAGGACACACCACTTCTTTCGTGCTGACCTTGTGTCGATTCGAAAGAATAACGAAGCCGTTTGTAAGGAGAACATGCTGAAACGACTTCTGGTGGCTAATTGAACACACGACCTCCTTCGTGTTCTGAGTTGTTGCCTCTTGTTGAATTCTTTCTTGTACACACGGCCTATTTTGTGGTCTGCAATGTTTCCGTTTCAATTTAAAATCTGCACCATTTTCCGTACCTGTCTCATTGCATGGCTTTCTCGGTTGTCTCATTCCCCTATGGCACGTTTCTCTGTCCCTTGCGCCCCTTCAGAGCATATGATTGCGCACTTAATCTGGAAGGAGCTGGGGGTGGGGGTGATTTGTTTTGTTCGTTTGTTCAAATGAATAAAATCCTTGTCTCATCCCCCCCTGGCCCGTTCCTCTTCTCCTGTCCCCCCGTCAGAGCTCATGAGGCGCACAGTCGGATGTGGAACTTGATCTGGAAGGCGCTGGGGTTGGGAGCGGCCGTTTTTTTTAGGAGCCTCAAACTCCCCTTTCTCGTTGCATGTCTGTCTAGCTTGTCTCATTCCGCTGTGGCGCACTCCTTTGTCCCTTGCTCACCCCCTTCAGAGCACATGCGGGCGCACAGGCGGAGGTGGAACGTCATCTGGAAGGTGCTGGGGGTGGGAGCGGCCGTCACAGTGGGCGTGGGTGTCATGGTAGCCGTTGCTCATCTCTCCAGCAGCAGCAGCAGCAGCAGCAGCAGCAGCAGCAGCAGTAGCATTGATGTTCACGGTAACAGCAACAGTAACAGTGATTTTAGGGGTATCAACGGATCTGTTTCTGCTGCAGCTGAATGAGGAGCCATAGGTTTTTAGTTTGCCAGATGGCCAGATTCACACATGCCAGCTCAAGAATGCCAGTCAGTTAAGTGCTGTCGGTGGGTTGGGTGCGGTGGAGGCATGGAGAACTTGCGAGAAGTCTGAAAAATGGTGGAGGCATGGAGGAGTGAAGGCAATGCATGGGAAAGGCATGGTGGCAGCTCTTTGCCGGCTTCAGTCCCAGTTGGTCCATTCAAGTCACAGGCTGACTTCAGAAGAGGCTTCAACGAAGGTCTTTCAAGGGGAAGACTGTGCTGTGTGTCCTCCTTTCCGTGTTGTTAATCTCGATGGGCCTGGGAGACTGTGGATCAAGGTGAGGAGACATGTGAAAGCTTCTGGTGCAAAGAGGCTGAGGTTTATTCTGTATAGTATGTTGCCATTGAAACAGTTGCTGCTCTTTCTTGTTATGTAAATGCTGGCAGTTATACTAGGAGCGTGTTCCTACGACCCCATATAAGGGGTACCTCGTATCAGGAATGGATTTCTCGCCTGTAAGTTTGCAGCCTCGCTAATACCTCATACCAAGAAAACTTGCCGGCTAACACACCTCTGCGACTCCAAACACCTGCTGATGTGGAGTATGCGACCCATCCACTTGCCCAGGTGTCCGCGACTCAACCCACATCAACATCACGCTATTGGGCTGAGTAAAGCCCTTACGGTAGGATCTTTGCAGGACTAAATTATGAGTGGGACAATGTAATAGCGGAAGCGTTTAATGAAAGGTTGTGGACCACCTTGCGCTGGTGTGTGAGGGCAAAGTATATTTATTAAAAACAAAGAGATACCGTACAAGCCTTTTATAAGAGTACAAGGGAATGCGAAGGGTTATGACTACCGGTAATAATTGTTTTGTTGTTGCTGTTGTTGGAAACAATAAGTCCTAAGTGCGCTTCTGTCGTATCAAAATCCAAGGTACCAAGCGAAGCAGTCCCAATCGAAGCATCGAGTCAACCTCGGAGGTTAGGGTAACCGCCTGGAGGTTACGAGAAAGTCAAAGGTCGCTGACCTTTGACTCGACAATTACAGCGCGACAGTTAAGGACACACAACTGACTCGTTACAGAGCAGTTGCCCGAGTCGCGCTATATCGAACCGCAACAGCAATACAGTTATCTATCTATTCCCTGTACTCTTATATAAATCCTTGTATTTGCTTGTTTAATTCAATCAACTTTGCTCTCACACACCAGTGCAAGGTCGGTTCAAATTCTTCACTAAACGCTTCCGCTATTACAACTACTTCACCTAGAGTTATCCCTTGCAAAGATCCTAAGGGGCTATCTCAGCCCAACATGGTATGAGAGCAGACAAGGGAAACTCTACTCCTTTTTCAATATCATTACAAGACATGGCAACAAACAAGGAAAGGAGCTCCCCTAATGGCTCCTCGGGCACTACTCCTACTCCACCGCCAGCCTCTGGCCTGCAGACAGAAGAAGGCACGGCAACAAGACCAAGAGGAACGTCAACCGAGACCCCCATGAACCACCCTTCGGACTTTGACCAGAACATGATGGAGAAATTTTTCTCCTTCATGTCCTTCTACGAACAACACCAGCAGTCGGGACCTGCACAAACACACAACAGCAACAACGGAGCGACACCCATGAGTCTTGATGGGTCGTCATATGCGCGAGGAAACCAGCAGCAGCAACCTACCTTTGCTCCGTACGAGCGCGGGTCAATCAACTTCGTGCCCCACCCGCAACCTTCACCTGGACAAGAAAGACCACTGGACGCACTTCAAGTTCAGTCGCAGTTTGCACACGTCTTAAAACTGCAAACGTCAAGACCCTTCGACGGCAAAGACTTCTTTACCTGGTCCTTTGAATTCGAGCTGATGATGGAGGGCGCGCAGATACTCGGCTTCTTCGACGGGTCCCTGCAGTATCCAGCCAACGGGACACAATATGAAAAGCAGCAGTATACGTATCAATCAATGATGGCGTATACAATCCTATTGAGGAACGTGACACCAACTCAGCAGCAGAACATTCGCTCTTACCGGACCTTCGGCAACTCGGCGGAGCTCGCGTACAGCCATCTGAAGAACCTGTATCAAGCAACAGACAGTGTAAACCAGAGCAGGTTAATGGCGCAGTTGACGACAGTCGAAATGAAACCAGGAGAAAAGGGACTGGCGTATATCAGCCGATGTCGCGAACTGCGCGACAAGCTGCTTCGATGCGGAGGGTCAATCTCTGAAGACGCCTTCGTGACAGTCATCATTGGTGGGCTTGGTCCTCAGTGGCGCGCCACCAAAGCCATTCTTCGAGCCCACGGAAGAATCTCTGAAGCTGCACTCTGCGCCGAAATACATGCCGAGCAGCAAGATATGGACCTGCAGGAAGAACGACACAGGAAGAAAACGACAGTATCAGAGTTCGCATTCCACACTCAACGACGACACAGCAATTATAACAACCGACAGCAGCAACCGAAGATAGTACCTCCCTTCTGCCACATCTGCAAGACTTCAGGGCACCCGCGCACACACTGCCCGAATCGTCAGCAATCAACGGCACCACAGCGACAACTTCGACCTTCAAGCTCCCAAATGGCTTCAACACAAGCAAGTGCGACGACCACTATTCAAGCTTCAACGACTTCACCCGGACAACCTGCACAAGGAGCAAGAAATATAATCAACTGCATGACGAAGATAACCGATTCATGTACAACCGAATCACCACCACACTACTCACCGGAAGAAGAGCTTGACAACAGAACGCCTCGCCGTGAGCTACTCCAGCCGAATCCAACGTACGCCGCCATCGCTCAAAGTGAACCGTCCGGCCAAGACACCTGGTTCTTGGACAGTTGCTGCGGGCAACACATGTGCTCGTCCGGGCGTTTCGTACAACGCGAACATCGACTCCAACGGGAAGTGATCATCACGGTTGCCAACAACCAAAACCTGCGCACACGAAGACAAGGAGTGGTACAGCTTCAGTCAAGAGAAACAAATGTCATACTGCACATGTCTAAGGTACTCATCGCTGAAGGACTCGGCTACAACTTACTGAGCGTTAGCCAGTTGATGGCGAAAGGAATTCATCTGGAAGCCGACAGCACGACCCAGGAGTTCAAACTTTACCACGGGAGAGGCGGTCTCTACATCGGGAAAGCAGTGCTGAAGAACAACGTCTTCGTCCTCGACTTCGTTCCTGACCTGGGCACTGCAGACAGCGACGCCATCGTGAATTTCACTGACTGGACACACCCTCCGGATCTCGACCCCGACTTCAGCCCAGGAGGCTTCTGGTACTCGCACACCATTCCTGAAGCAGAACGAACACGAGCATTAGCAACAATTCGACAATCGGCAGCAGTAACAACATCGGCAGCAGCAACAACATCAGCAGCAGTAACAACATCGGTAGCAGCAACAACATCAGCAGCAGCAGGAACAACGACACCAGTCACAGTCGACGAAGCACCACCAACACCCGCGAAACAGCTGAATCCGACTCAACGTGAAGTCCACCGAAGCGCCAACCTCGTCGCCAGCTTTTACTCCAACTCCGACGCATATCAGCGTTCACCTGGACACCGCGCCTCTGAAGAGATCTGGCACGCACGAACAGGACATCCAAGCAACACGGTTTTGAATAACACGATAAGAGCAGGAGTCCTTGACAAAGATTCTCTACTTCTACCCGATGGCAGAGAACTCCAGAAGGCACGAGGGACTTGCCTTATATGTCCCGAAGCTGACTTACCTCATCGACCGTTTGCTTCACATCACAACCCGAGCGCTCCAGCGTACGCACCACTCGAAAAAGTCTACAGCGACATCCTCTACAATCGCGAGCCAGGACAAGTCAACTACAACTACACCATCACCTTCATCGACGCCGCCACTCGATACGTCTGGCATCGCAACCTACCCAGCCGCGACATGGCGCTCGCAGCATTCGCCGCCTGGCTACCGATAGCAGAGAGAGAGTCTGGAACACAACTGAAAAATTTCCAGTCAGACGGAGGTGGCGAGTACACCTCTCACCGCTTCAAGCAGTTCTTGGCGGAAAGGGGGATCAAGCAACTCCTCTCCCTTCCCTACGCACATCAGCAGCAAGGTGTTGCAGAACGTCTGAACAGGACCCTGCAGAACAGCATGCGCAAACTATTACGTGGTATGCGGCTACCCAACCACCAGTGGCCAACAGCAATGGACCACGCTGTCATGCTACACAACTTGTTGTCGTCATCGTCACTCCCGAACAACGCATCACCGCATCTGCTGTGGACAGGGAAGCAGGGCAGCACGAAAATGTTACGAGTTTTCGGGTGCATGGTACAGTACAGACCCCCAGAAGCACGAGCGGGAAGATTTTCGCAACGGGCACAGTGGGGACTACACCTCGGCATCGAGAAAAATTACAACGCATGGAAAATCTTCGACGTCCACACAAAGGAAACAGTAGCAGCACGTGACGTGATCTTCTACGAAAGACTCACCCTTCAGACGTACCTCGCCAACTTGCACGAGAATCGGGACCTCACCAGTGGTTTTCGTGGTGACCGAGCCTTCGCGTCAGCAGCGGACGAAGCAGACTGGGATGAACAGAACGTCGACAACGCCTCAGAAGAAGCCGGACCTCTCCCATACTGCTCCGTCGACGTGCCCATGGATGAGGATAATCCTCGCGACAGTAACAACGCCGAAATCTTCTACCGTTTCGCCGACGATGGTTACGTAACACCTGTGACAGTCAACACCAACGAAGCAGAAAGGGTAGGGCCAAATTTCATGCCCGACCCAGAAACGGGAGACGAAGCAGCTTATCCCGAGGATCCAGAACTCCCTCGATACTCACAGACTGGGCTGCAAATCCTCGGCCTCGTCACCGCAGTCCACGGGAACACACGCAGCTCGCTTCCTAAAGAGCCTGCAA